CAACTAACACTCTGAGGTTAAAAATGTATGAAAGAATTCTTTTTAATTCATTTCAGCTATTGAGTGGGCTGGGGAAAAAAAAAAGGCCTTTTCATGAGAGCTAACATGCTTGCCTTAAAAATATAGGAACGAATTTATTTTTTAAATCCATTTCAGCGATTGAGTGGGGCTGGAAACATTTTCTTTTTCTTAGAGCTCAGGGAAAAAAAAAGGTTCTTTCCATGACAGCTAACACGCTTGAGCTTTAAAAATGTATAAAACAATTGTTTTAATCCATTTCAGCGATTTTGAGTGGGCTGGGAAAGATTTTCTTAGAGCTCAGGGAATGTGTCTAGTGAATGCACAGCACAGACGGATGGGAAGTCGAAACTCGAGTGGCTTAAAAATAATATAGAAAATTTGGTCATCGAGCTGACTAGGAAAAAATTCTCAGAGTTCTGGAATAAATTCTGAGTTCAATCATGGGACATGAGAACCGAAATGTATTACAATCATCATTTCATCATTGTTTTCGAAGCCAAAGAACATCTCACGAAAGAACATTGTTTTCCTGGTTGTGGGATGGAGTAGTCGAGATGTTGCATCTTGAACAACCCACACTGATTTGAACAGAAATGAAATGTTTTATAGATATAAGAAATGAATTGAAAGTGAAAGTAAAAATGAAATTGTATTGGCTGTTGAATGGGAAAAGAAAATATTTTCCAAAGCTGAAAAAAAAAAACTCTTTCTTTTTTCTATTAATTTGATTTCTTCACTTGTTTACTTGGAATCTCCTAGAGAATGAGTCATGGTCTATTTTTAGAAACAGGGAGAAAACATTCTCACACACAAGGGGGTAGGGTTAATTTTTATCATGTCTAGAAGACATGATAAAAATTAACAAAAAGTTTTTTTTTTTTTTTTTTTTTTTTTTTACATCTCAGATTTTTTTTTCTGGCTCTGAAAATTTTTTCCAGTCGGCAACCAAGTGAAAAATTTCCAATCGGCTTTTACTTTCACTTTTCAACTGTTTCTATAAAAGTATTCACGTTTCTGTTCAGAACCGTGTGGGCTCTCCATGGTGCAACTGCTTGTTCTCTCTCTACCTCATCTGCAGCTATGACAGCTAACACGCTTGAGCTTTAAAATGTATGAAAAGAAGTTATTTTAATCCATTTCAGCGATTGATGTGGGCTGGGGAAAAAAAAAGGCCCTTTCCATGACAGTTAACACGCTTGAGCTTTAAAAATGTATGAAAGAATTATTTTTAAACCATTTCAGCGATGAGTGGACTGGGAACATTTTTCTTAGAGCTCAGGGGAAAAAAAAGGCCCTTTTTATGACAGTTAACACGCTTAAGCCTTAAAAAATATGAAAGAATTTATTTTTAATCCATTCAGCGATTGAGTGGACTGGGAAACATTTTCTTAGAGTCAGGGAAAAAAAGGCTCTTCCATGAGAACGCTTAAGCTTTAAAATATATGAAAGAATTTATTTTTAATCCATTTCGGCGATTGAGTGGAACTGGGAAAAATTTCTTAGAGCTCAGGGGAAAAAAAGGGCCCTTTCCATGAGAACTACACGCTTAAGCTTTAAAAATGTATGATGAAATTTATTTTGATCCATTTCAGCGATTGAGTCTGCTGGGAAACATTTCTCAGAGCTCAGGGAAAAAAAAGGCTCTTTTCCATGACAGCTAACATGCTTGAGGTTTAAAAAAATGTATGAAAGAATTTATTTTAATCCATTTTCAGCGACTGAGTCTGCTGGGAAACATTTTCTCAGAGCTCAGGGGAAAAAAGGCTCTTTCCATAAACAGCTAACACGCTTAAGCTTTAAAAATGTATTAAAGAATTTACTTTTAATCCATTTCAGCGATTGATTGAGTCTGCTGGGAAACATTTTCTCAGAGCTCAGGGGAAAAAAAAAAAGGCTCTTTCCATGACAGCTAACACTCTTGAGGTTTAAAAATGTATGAAAGAATTCATTTTTGACCCATTTCAGCGATTGAGTTGGCTGGAAAAAATTTTCTCAGAGCTCAGGGAAAAAAAAAAAAAAAAAAAAAAAAAAAAAAAAAAAAAGGTTCTTTCCTTGAACCTAACACTCTTGAGCTTTAAAAATGTATGAAGAATTTTTTTTAATCCATTTCAGGTATGAGTGGGCTGGGAAACATTCTTAGAGCTCAGGAATGTGTCTCCAGTGAATGCACAGCCACACGGATGGAAGTCGAAACTCGAGTGGCTTAAAAAAAATATACGGAAAGCTGGGTTATCGAGGCTGCTAGGAAAAAATTTTCAGAGTTCTGGAAATAATTCTGAGTTCAAGCATGGGACATGAGAACCGAAATGTATTACAATCATCATGTCATCATTGTTTTCGAAAGCCAAAAGAACATCTCATGAAAGAACATCTTTTTTTCCTGGTGTGGATGGAGTAGAGTTGCTGCATCTGAACAACCCAACTTTCTGAACAGAAAAATGAAATGTTCTTATAGATATAAGAAATGAATGAAAGTGAAAGTAAAAATGAAATTGTATTGGCTGGAAATATTTCTTGGCTTGAATTGGAAAAATTTCCAGAGCTATTAAAAAAAAAAAAAAAAAAATCTTCCTTTTTTTATAATTTGATGTCTTCACTTTGTTTACTTTGGAATGGAGAAACCAAATACTTTTTAAACATATCCTTTTTAAAAACTTATCATATCTTTTTTAAACTTTAAACCATCCTTTTTAAAAACATATAATTCCTAGAATGAGTCATGTCTATTTTAGAAACAGTGAGAACAACATTCCCACACAAAAGGGGGTAGGTTAATTTTTATCATGTCTAGAAGACATGAAAAAAAATTAACAAAAAAGTTTTTTTTTTTTTTTTTTTTTTTTTTTTTTTTTTTTTTTTTTACAATCTCAGATTTTTTTTTCTGAGCTCTAAAATTTTTTCCCAGTCGGCAACGAATTGAAAAAATTTCCAATCGGCTTTTACTTTCACTTTCAACTTTTCTATAAAAGGCATTCCACGTTTCTGTTCAGAACCGTGCGGGCTCTCCATGGTGCAACATACTTTTTTCCTCTCCCATCTGCAGCTAGGGTGTTTTTCCTTCTTCAAGAAGTGGATTTTTTGGGAATACTTTACAATTTCACGAGCTAGCTGTTTCTTATATTCGAGGAGATTTCAATGGAAGTTTGTTTATAGATGTCATCTATTGCAGATGGGGAAAAAGTCTATACTGGATCGCTGGAGACTCTCATCCAGATAGGTCACGTTATATTGCTTTCCCACACCTAATAAAACTGGACATGAGCCATCCTTTGTTTTCTCATTCAACAAAGATAGACACTGCAGACGTTTTTGGGTTTTCACTCTTCGCGAACCGAGACGAGCCGCAGCGACACTTTGCGTTTTCTATGGAGTGCAATAATGGATTACGTGAGCAGCCATTTTGTTTCCCATCTCCCCAGATAGGTCATGTTGTATTTGTTTTCATGCACCTAGCCAATTTTGGACATGAGCCATCCTTTTTTTTTTTTTTTTTTTTTTTTTTTTGTCTATCGAACCAAGATAGACTCTGGAGACAATTTTGTTTCTCAACGGAAAAGTAAATTTTCTGAATGGGTACCGGTGTTCGAATACTTTTGTGGCCGACTGTACGATGTCACATCACAAATCAAAATACCGGTTTTTATCCGCCACACTAATGTGTGAAAGCGCCACCTATAGGTGAATTGAATCGCGAAAAGCTGGTTGAAGTGGGCGGGTGGCCGTCTTCAGTATCACTCAAATTCATTGAGTCATTATCGGTTTGGAGAAGTTGAAATTTGTTATTAGTTTTATGATTTAGTTCGTCATTTTCGCTCTCAGAATCTGAAGATTTTCTTAGTTGCGGTTTCATTTGTTTACGGAAATTACCTCCAGATTGATGAGCTTTGCGGCATTGTTTCAATTCGGTTTTTTGTTTTGTTTTGTTTTTTGTTTCTGCAAAGGGCTGTTCACATTGAGGTTTATTTGAACTAACGGAGACATCTGACACAAACGAAACTGCTCCAAAACCAATTTTTCTTCGTAGCGAAACGAGTTGAAAAGTCTGAACTTCAAGTACAGGGAAGCTATTCGACACATTGAACCGACACCGCTAGCGCAGATAAATCCCAGTGTGCCCCAAGGAGGTTAGAATAGAAGGAGGGAGGGTTCGCAGTTTTCTCCACTATCAGGGAATGAAACTCCACCGAACAAGCGGCGTCCATGTTTGTAACTTCAAAACATTGCATTACGGCAGCGAAACGTACGTGTTTTTTAAGTTATTCCGTGCATGTGTTTTCCACTAAAAATATGTAAAATTCATAATGAAATACTTCGCTATTGTTAGTTTTTTGTTTTAAAGTTATAAAGATGATATCCGTAATTTACTACGTACAGAAAATCATTAATTAATTAACGAATCATTAATTAACGAATTACCTAAAACGTTCAAATTATGCAGTTTAAATCCTAGCATACATCACTGTATGTTAAGGAACAAAGATGCCAGCTACAAACAAAAACATTAAAATGTATTTAACATATTTTGATTCTTATTAAGTCCTTTTTTCACATCTGGAAAGAAAACCACATGGCATTGTGATATTTTTTACCATAGTTATCAAATTACCTAAAAAAAGAAAATTAATACTTACGCGTGAAAAGTAATCCCAGGAATCTTTTTCGAAAATCTGTTTGTGCATCCATATACAACACAAGCTGACATGCTTCAAAAAGAACAGAAAAAAAATATTGCAATTACAGACTTCCTTGCACAAGTCAGAGTGATAACAGAAACATGGCCGCCAAACTTCACCGTTTGAGTTAAACCTGTGATCAGGGTTTCGTGCCTCTTATGTGCAATAAAATACTTTCCTTTCATGCATATTACTGGATATTTCAGAAATCTTCACATTGATCCCTAATGTCTTGGAATGTATCTGGATGTCTAACGTTTTTCCAAGGAGGTTCTTTTTGTGTTTTTATCCCGAGTTTTCTTTTTCCTTCTGATCATTTAATGCAGAGTGGCATCACTCAATAAAAAGTTAAATGTGCGAATATTCGATTAGATATTTAGGGTAGTTAAACAGTGTTTTTGTTTTGCTCATTGTTAATACTCATGTTACAAAACTACCCTATTCCATGCACATACAATCTCAGTTTTTAAAATTTATTAGTTGTATAGATTATTCAGTCTAATTTATTCTCATGAGCAAATACGCTGGGTAAGTGTAAATTCTTTCGTGTAATTTTGATTCTTTAATAACGTTTATTGCTACTTATGCATTCATTTATATCTGGAGAGAAGTTCAGTAAAGTAATTATGAACAGAAATTTTCCGTCTTGTAACATAATGCTGTGTTTCAATTTAGAAATGGGTAAAAAATTAAAGGAATCTGAAGTTAATTCGATTCTTGTATTCTACCCTCCCAAAAAAATGCTTTTTCATAGGAGCGATAATGCTGCTGCACCGTTGTTTCCTTAAAGATGCGAATATGTAAAAATGACATTCCAAATGCTGCTTTTGAGTAACATTACGTCAAATTCTACTGGATGTGTAAGATTGTTCAAAATTCTTGTTTGCTTCTCGTGTTCTGTGCACGTATGAGCATTTATTCTCTGTGATCACTTCTGATGACTAGCATTCTCTGATAACGTATATTTAAACATCCAGAGGTTGAACACCGGAATTATCACACGGCAAAATGCTGCTGTGTCTTCTGTGAGAAACATATGCTTTGTGATTCTTGTGAATATCACCATAACAACATCATTTAACTCTTTATTTGTCTGATAGCTTTTTTGCAATAAGTACTGTTTACTAATGTTCCTTAACGCATTGCCAATGACATGAGATTGACTTCTGTCAGGCTACTTTATCAGTACTGGAAGGTGGGCCAATCTACCTGGCAGGATATGTTCATTGATGAATTATCTGACTTGGGCAGTGTAGTGGAAAAGAGCTCCATCCATTCAGAATAACAGTTTGCTAGAAGATTCAGGCTTTGGATTTATGTTACATGGTAAGATGCTAATTGACTATGTCGGGGGGGGGGGAATTAGACAGCACGAAAACAGGTTATCATCTGGCTGATATCTGTCATTTGAAGTGAAATACAAACAAGAAGTATACATCTGTGCATAGAACATGGGGGATAAAACGACTCGAATTACCTTATACATTTCATTGCAGTGAAAAACTAAAAATTAGCCTCACTGTAAGCTACCAGACTAGTTGTAATTTGTGTTGGAAAAAGTAGCATCAAGAAAAGTGTGACCTGTATAGGTTATATTTTTAATAATACATGTTCAATATAACAAAGCATAGCTGTTTCAAGAAAAATCTTCAATAAAATACTTGTTATGCATAGTGTTATGTGCTACACTTTTAGCTGAAAGCATGGTTCTGACTTAATAACATAGTTAAAAAGTACTGCATGAAAAAGTAAACTTTCCAACCTGTGCAGTGTATTATAAATCTTCCAAATTAAAATTCATAGCTGTTGTTTTAATTGGTTGGTTCTGAGCACAGTCGAAATATGTTGTGCATGTTCATCATAAGTTACTGATTTACCAGCTGCATTTCTTTTATGCAAAGGAGATATACAATTAAAGGTACTTTTCTGTTTTGCCGGCACAAATGATAAAATCGGCAATAATGGTATAACTGATGCCAAACAGAATATCTTCTCTGGTAACCTTTTACACCTCATTTTCAAAACAAGTCGCAGCCATTTCTTACTAGATTGTTTCTTTCAATACAGGCATACAATTACATAGAATATTTACAAAAATAATTAAATTTTATGCTCTATGACCATTTGCAGATAATTAGATAATTTTAGCCTAGCATATACCGTGTGTTATACATTAAACATGTATGTGTAAACGTATTATGCGCATGCACGAAAGCATTATGCGTTTACCGCATGCGCAGAAAGTTTGTAGTTTTGAGGTCCGTATTAAAGACTTTGTACTGTATTTAGAAAGTAGAACATTTTGGTAAAATATCCATAACAAAATTTCAACTTTAATGCTTAGAATGTCAAGTTATGTGAATCTTCTTGTATGTGTGAACTGTATAAACTTTATTGTTTGTATGTAACATATCCAAAATATATCAATGAGGGAAAATAAAGTTTGTTAAATTGATGAGCAATTTGAGTTTTTGTAATAGCTCAAAAGAGTACTATTATAGCATTGTGTTCTGATAATATTGCTTCAGTAAGTACACAAAAGCAATTTCGTCTATTTTTCTATGTAATATAGTATGCTATATAAAACTGAATTGTGTTGTAATTAAGCCTTACTGTAACAAGTTGTGTTAGTATGCTGCAGGTATTTAGATTTCTCAAACAGTCCATTTTTATTTTATTTATTTATTCTCTTGAAACTTAAAGAGGTATTTTTAACTAAGGAAGTTCACGCAAATGTTCATACATATCCAAAATTATTATATAAAGTTAGTCGGCCAATAAATTATCGTCACATGTTAATGGGTACTAATGTATTATGCCATTGAACTTGAAAGATATCAGCGGAGATTGTGCCTAAATTGTGCCAGTCGATCCTACGGAATTGTAGCTACACTTCTATATGCAGCTGTTAACAATAAACCATTCTTCAGTCTTTCTGCACAATCCACCAAACAGTTGTTATTGCTGTGAGATTATTTCAACCAATTTTATTTTTTTGGTTTTTAAAATGGCTTTCGTCGATTTCTACTGTTTTGTCAGACCTGATTTTATTGGAAACTTTATTTCAAATGCTGCAAGTACAAATTTCTCGCAGGTTTTTTGTTCTAGTTTATTATTATTGTGTCAGCTATTTCTGGTTTTTCCTTTCCCCATTCAGATGTTTTCTTTGCGGTACTTTAGCCAATAAATAAAGACAATAAATTTGTAAAAAGACATTAATTTAAGAATTTCTCATGCTTTCATGGTTCAACATCCTGAGTCGCCGGTTCGTATCATGTGACCCAAAGTGATCTCTCCCACGTAAACTACGCTACAAAAATCTAATTCTCTGAGTAATCATATACATTAATTTCAAGTTAAATCGTAGTTTGAAATACAAGTTTAAATGCAATGTGTTTTTCAAAATGCAGGAAATTATTATAGCATTAACTATGAATTTATATCCTTGTTCTTAAAAACAAAAAATGGCTCATCAGAAATCAGTTGGGTTGCATCAAAAGAAAGTGCAGGTGATATGAGTGTGTTGCAAATTCTTGTTTATCTGTAATTAGCACTGAACTGAGTTGTTTAGTGAGTGTTTCTCGGTTAATGCATAATACGCAAGTACTTAATAGAAGTGATAAATTTTTGGCACACTGTTAAAATATTTAAATGTGGTCTGTAGTAGGGATTTGAACTTATTGGAGCTTAAAGAATCTGTTTCTGCTACTATTTAATGTGATAAGTTTATCAGGTTTTACTGTTTTTCTAGGAGTAAACTGCAGTTTTACTCAGTAATTTTTATTTGACAACATATTCAAATTTTATAGGGATTGGCTTATTTTGAACGAGTATCACTACGAGGGTTGGAACTTTAATAGTGGCAACTATTTATATTTACAAGGAATACAAAAGTGATTCATGTCACCATGTTTTACAGTCCTTCAATATAGTCGCCAGCATTGTGTACAACCCGTTTCCAACGATGTGGAAGTTGCAGAATACCTGTAGCAGCGCCTGTTTTGTTGATAGTTTGAAATGGACCAGTCTACTGCCGCAAGAATCTCAGGAACAGTTTGGAAGCGAGTGTCACGAAGTGGTTCCTTCATCTTAGGGATTAAGTCATAGTCACAAGGGCTTTAGATCTGGGGAGTATGGTGGATGGTTAAAGCACTTCCCAGCCCCATCCCTGAACAAATCAGTCAAGCTTGCGCTGCATGCGGCCGAGCATTATCATGCAAAATGAGAGGAGCGTTCTGCAGAAAGTGTCGCCGTTTTTTTCTCAAAGCTGGTCGGAGATTGTGCTCCAAAAATGAGCAGTAATACTGCGCAGTGACGGTATGTGTTAGGATGACACCATCACAGTCGCGCAAGAGAATCACCATAACTTTCACATTGCTGGGAAACTGACAAAATTTCTAACGTCGTGGTGACCTGTGATGACGCCATTCGTTTGATTGGCGTTTCAGTTCTGGCTGGTACGATCGGGCCCAAGTCTCATCCAGCGTAATGATACGGCGTAAAAAAGCATCTCCTTCGCACTTGTGGTTGCTTGCTAAGTTCTTTTATAATAATTTAAATAGCAAAAAAATCAAAAAAAAGCAAATCAATCATATTTCCATATATAACATCTTTATTATTCTTTGTAGCCCTCACTAACTCCTACTAATTTAATGGATGACAACCCTTAGAAACTAAACTTGAAACTAAAGGTGAAGTGAAAGTAGTAGTTATTATCTAGTAGAAGTAGTTGTAGTTATTATAACCAATAATAATTGTTGCCTACATCACTCCCCTACCAGTAACAAAATTACGTTACTCTGAAAACATGGTGGGAGAGAAGATACAAATATCTATACAAATATATAAATTGAAATTATGTACACAAAGAAAAACATAATTAAATTTTAAATTAATATGAAAAAAGTTATAAGTTCAAGAAGAGTCAATAACTGTCATTGAAACGAACTGGAAGTTTACTTGTCTTCCACATCGTGTTAATTTTTTAGGTTGTTTTACTTTGGACTTTGGCACAGATGTATGATCACTTTTGAAGTTGGAGACAAAAGTTCATTAGGTTGTAACACATAAGCTGGTTTTAACCTATCCACAGAGATACTAACTTCTTTATTTTAATTTATAGAGAAGAAAATATTCGGGTTCTTTGCAGTACCAAAAAGGGTCCTTCATATGGGGGTTCTAAAGGTTTTTTTTTACTCTGTCAACCCGCAGAAACACATGCGAGCATGTGTACAAATCTTTTGGGATGAAAATCTTTTGTTTCATTTGGATTTGGATTGATAGGGCTTTTAAGGGGGCCATCTGATTTCGAAGATTACTTACAAAATTATCATTAGATATTGGCATGTTTGATTTTCAAAGAATTTGCCAGGTAATTTAATAGTTTGCCATAAACCATTTCAGCTATTGTATATTACAGTCCTCATGTAGAGCAGCTCGCAACCCATAAGAACTGTGGTAATGTTTCTGTCCAATGAAGAGAATTATGACATCTAATAGCTGTTTTGTTTTTAAAGTACGGGTAGACA